CCGTGATTAAAATAAGGGAGTTTCTTATTAGCGAAGTTTTTAATGCATAGAGAGAGAGAGAGAGAGAGAGAAACAAGACGCCTTTTTCCGGAAAAGAAAAGGAGAAAAGGGAGGCAGAAAGTCGTTAATGCGAGAAGCATGAGAAACTTGCTGGCAGAAAAAACGCCTAAAAATTCTATTGAAAAACTAAGTAATTTTCTAGAAAACCAATACTAATGTCCAGTAAGGTTTGCAAGACGTAATTTTCAAAACTTTTTGTTTACAAATTATGTTGTCTGCTACAAGATTACTTCTTTTGTCAGTTTAGCTCCTATAGGGAGACTAAAATGACCAAAAAAAAACCGAGATACCTGAATATAATTACGTGTCACAGATGGCCGTTCTGTACACCACTTTTCTAGATCAGGGAATTTTCCAAAATAATTCAGTTTTAATTGGCATAGTGTATAAAAAGGGCAAACTTTAAAAGGGGAAAAATTAAAAAATAACAGATTTTTCGAATTTATGTATCTTTTCATTTGTATTAAAGCTAGACCGCGATGCTGCTGGTGTTTGCAGCTGATATCAACATTGTCGACTTCTTTTGGGCGACAGATAAGAGAAATATATGTTAAGAAGAAAGAAAATACGCTGTGTACGAAAATCTTACCGTTGAGGAGTAGGCTTAAAAAAGTTTGTCCCACTTACCTGAAATGAGAGAAATAAAAATACATTAAACTGTCTGAATAAGTAGAAAATGTAATTATATATACTACACATAGATAGCATACGTTTATTTATAACATAAATACAAATATGATGCTAACGTGATATATGAATACAAAAGGATTAGATACATACATACGTATTACGTGTTATGTATATGTTTACATTTTACATTTTACGTATAAATATCTACTGTGAATTTTATTTAAGCGCAAACTTTTTTCATATATTTTATTTTCCGCCTAGCTCAAACTTTATGCAATTTTTTTTTTTAGCAGCGACAGCCTGTCTGAATTCGCTGAAATAAATCAGTCGCCGGACATAGTAAGCGAAAAAAATTTCTGCAGAAAATTTTCTTGTTTAAAAAGGAGAAACGAATTTTTTGCAGTTTTGAACCTTTTACAAATTAAACCAAAATTTTTTCGACTATTTATTCCATTTCAACATGAACAAGCTTCGATTTTAGAATGTTTGTTGCATTTATGTATAAAAAAAACGACTACTTCCCAAATTTACCAAACACGCGTGCATTACTGGCTACTTGTAGCATCTCGTTGAGCAACATGGCTTGATTTGAATTGCAAATTCGCGAAATGTCGGTACTCCCTTTGTTTTTTGTTTTTTTTCTTATTGGGACTTTTCGCTAGTTCTGAAAAAGGTACGAATTTCAAGGTTTGATTGACTAATAGGTATTAACTTGAAATGTGCTTCAATCTACTTGGCTTGTTGTCGACTGGTCAGATTTTTTTAAATTAGCATTCGATTTTTTAAACGAAAGTGTAAGATATTATAAACAAGAGTGAGTGCGCCTGAGCCACACTGTAAAAGTGAAACTTATGTACTTATGTTAAATAATGAATACATGTATATTATTGGTTTAAATTGTGATAGTTAGCCGGCCCAATTATTGTTGTCGACGTCGATGTCATATTTTCATCAAAAAATTGCCCTCGTAAGTGCAACTCCAGTCTTTTTGAGGAAAGATTTTCCTCGTAAAACTACTGTGGTCAGCGTAGTTAGGGCCGAATATTATGTTATAAACCTAAGGTTCTATTTTAATCCATAACATCGTACATCATACAAGAACAAAAAAAAAAAATCTATCAGTCTTTATTTGATGCCATGTGTCTTGTGGTGAGTTTAGGTGTATTGAGTTAAAGTCTGATGAATTTAGGTGTGGTAAGTGCAGGTTTGGTGAGTTCAGGTGTGGTAAATTCAGGTGTTGTGAGCACGGTTGCCACTTTGGTAATTTGTTACCAAAAATTAAATTAATTAAAAATTAATTAACCGGCATGCCGTGAAAAATCATAATGGGGTATTATTACGCTATCTATTACCTTGTTTATACCGACACATAAATAGCTTTTACCCAGCTCGCTGTGACTAAAAACGGATGCATAAACAAAATTTCAATAAAAATAATTCATTTAACGCGAAAACTGGCTGGTTTTCTTTGTACAGCCCGTTTTTAAGAGGAATTAGTGTTATAAAATTTTAAATTAAATTAGCACCTTAACACCGTTTATAAAGTTTCCATGTAAGTGCAAATGTAAAACTCATTTTTGGTAACATTTTCTCTAAGCTTGTAGCAACCGCGTTTGTGAGTTGAGGTGAGTTGTGTATACGAGTGGTGAGTTCTCTCTTTCTTCTACATATATCTTTTTATTTATAATTAATTTCCCATAATATTATTTCGCCTATCTTTATCCTTACATTTATCGTTATTCTCATATAGTTTCCAGGACAGATTAACCATCGAACCGGATCATTGTTGTCGCCAGGGAGTGAAATTTATTTCGTTATTCGATTAACCGTGCTGTGAAACGCCATTGGCATAGACAATGCAAGCATCTAATGAGGCGGCTCTTGGAGTTTTCGAGAGAAAGATTCTGCGAAAGATTTACGGACCTTTACGCGTTGGAGATGGCGAATATCGCAGACGATTTAACGATGAGCTGTATGAGCTTTACAACGATATAGACATAGTTCAGCGAATTAAAATTCAGCGGCTCCGCTGGCTTGGCCATGACGTTCGAATGGACAGAAACGCTCCTGCTCTGAAAATATTCAACGCGGGCCGCGATGCTGGTAACAGAGGAAGAGGAAGGCCTCCTCTGCGTTGGAAAGACCAGGTGGAGAAGGACTTGGCTTCACTTGGCATTTCCAATTGGCGTCAGTTAGCACAGAAGAGAAATGACTGGCGTGCTGTTTTGGACTCGGCCAAAATCGCTTAGGCGGTTACAGCGCCAATAAAGAAGAAGAAGAAGAAGAAGAGAAACGCCAGAAAATTCCAAGAATTATAATGTTTCAAAATGAAACGAACCCAAAGGGAGCGTAGTAAGAAGTCAAAAGGAGTCAAAAGAAGAGGAGGAAAACCTTCAAATGCACTCTCGAATGGTGCTTCCTTCAAGAGTTGCGGCAATTTTATCAGGCGTCTTCGCGAACTTAACACCATAAAATCAAGTACTTGCTTTCTAACTCATTACGTAATCTTTCAATGCCCATAGCTTCTGAATGAAAAATCGGAAATCACCACTGTGCAGTCTGCACAAAACTAAAAAAGTAGGTATTTTTCGTGCACTTAACCTCAAATAGCTCAACATATTGGTCCAGTACTAAGCTCGAACTCAAGTTCTACGTAGAATATTACTTCGATAAGGACCTATAGCTGCATAACACCAGAAAATTTCAGATCTGTATTCATAAGTTTCATGTCCAGAGCTACATTTGATTACATGTTAAATCGCAGATTCACTGAATTTTATTTTCTGTAACGTAAAAGTCCGACTAGTGTTTGCAAATATCTACCGCAAAATTGATTTGATCAATTCAATTAACACATTATTCTTGAACACACGGTATTAGGAGATAAGACTTTTTTGACATTATAAAACAGCTTCAACAATTAAAAAAGTCTAGGTGCGGGTGGAGTCGAACATTAAATACCCGGCGCAAGGATTAAATATAGTTTTCACCTCTATTTCGAACAATTTCGATGGTACGTTCTTTTCAAGGGATTGTTGTTAGTATCAATTTTGAGTAAATTAGCGTCTTTTAATTTCGAAATATTGAAGTTTCAAGCATTTCTGAAATTATCCGTATGTTATTAAAGTTGGAGTAATTTTAGTCCGATTTCAATAACTTTTAACGCTTTGCCTTTATGTGCCAAGCGAAATAATCGTACCAAGTTTGGTACAAATTGATTGAACGGTTACCGAGATATACTACCTGGTCATAAGTGGGCGGTGCCACGCCCATTTTCCAAAATTTTATCATAAACGTATTTCTTGGTATAGAATTGTTGCAAGCGTCAATTTTGAATAAATTAGCTTTAATATTTACTGATTTATCGAAGATTTTGTAGTTTTCTAAATTACCGTTATATGGGATGTAGGCGTGGTTATTGTCCGATTTTAAAACTTTTCGACCATTTGGTATGTTGTGCGAAGGCCAATAACTGTGCAAAGTTTGGAAGAAATTGGTGCAGCGGTTACCAAGATATACACATGTAACCATAAGTGGGCGTGGCTACGCCCATTTTTCAAAAATTAAAATATTCTTATTTCTCGTCTAAAACTTATTGTAAATATCAATTTTGAGTGAATAATCTCCAGTACTTACTAAAATATCGCAGTTTTCGTATTTATGAAAATTACCGTTATGTGGGAAGTGGGCGTGGTTATAGTCCGATTTCGCCCATTTTCAATACCAACCTACCTTGGGTAAATGGAAACCTACGTACCAAATTTCGTTGAGATATCTCAATTTTTGCTGGAGTTATCGTGTACACGGACGGACGGACAGACAGACATGTCTTAATCGACTTCTCTATTCATTCTGAGCATTTATGTATACATTTGTCCATATCTATCTCGATTCTTTTTGGCTGTTACAAACAACTGTTATGTGAACAAAATTAATATACCCTTGTGCACAAGTGCGCTCGGGTATAAAAAAAAACCCGAAGAAAAGAAAAATTTTCTTCTCTCATTTTCTGTTGAGCCAAATTTTTACGAAAACGTTGAAATATTTTTTTATAATACCATATTTTTTGAAAATCACAAGAATTTACTATAAGAAAAAATCACGCAAATTTAAATTAAATCACAAAATTGCTGGCTGCAACAGTAAGAAGCACATCAGAAAGAGACAAGCACTGAAAAAAAGAAATCTTGCACACGTGCAACACTTGGCTGCCATCACGTGCAACATATCATTGGCACAACGTAGCACAACAACACTGCAACAACACAACAACAAATTAGTTTCTCATATGTAATACCAACAGCACATACCTTCAACGGTGATGTACGGACGCGGTGAAACATTATCGAACGAACGATTAATTATGCCACTCTCACGTGGCAATGTGGTGCACTGATGATGCAACATCGCAGCTGGATCCCCGATTACATCCCGGCTTTGTAGCTGACTGCTGTTGGCGGGTGCAACTTCCTCTTGCTGATATCCCTTTTGATGCGCAGGCTGGGCGCAGGACTCATGCAATTGAGCCGGTACTCGCAATTTCCCCGTTGCGGTGGAGGCTAAATCAGTTACGCTGCTGTCAGCTATTAAGTGTGCTTGTGTGAGTGTTGCTTTGTGAGTCTGTGTTTGTTTGGCTGTTGTTTCTGACTCGACATCGTGCGACTTGTTCACAGGCATTGCACCTATATTTTGTGCTGATGATGAAGACGTCGCCGATGATGAAGGAGCTGGTGTGGAAGAAAGAGTTGTTTTTAGTGTTGCTGTTGTTACTGTTCGAGTTTTGTATTTTTTGTAGTAGCGTCGAGACTCTGCCTGTAGTGGCTGCTCATCATGACCGCCGTCATTGTCATCCTCCGCGCTGGCCTCTGCATCAGCATAATGCGTGACCGCGCTGTGCGTGAGTGCATTGCCCATTTCAATTTGCTTGGGTAGCACAACAATGCGCTGTTGCTGCTCGGTGATAGGCGCACGCACCAACAAACCAACATTGTGACCCTCCAACTGCGGCACAAATTCGGCTAAATTCGTACTCGCATCGGTACTGGCGCCAATTGCTGCAGCTTCTTCCAACTCCATCCGTTTTGCGGCACCACTATCTACATCAGCTGCAGCATGACTTTCAGCAGCTTCATCAATCAATTCGGTAATGTCAAGCGGATTGAGTCCAAAAGGTGAAGCTGCACGCTTGGGCGGATGAGGCTCAATTAATGCAGCCGGGTATTTGCGTGTGGGTGAGCGGCTGCCACGTGTTGGGTACGGACTCGGGGAGCGACTGCGAGAGCCGCTGCGATGTGGCTGCTGTGCGGAGGTACGTGTGCGCTCGCTTCCAATTGACTGAGCTGGGGACAAGCGCGAAGTCGTTGATTGCTGTTTGAATGACTGCAGCGGCGATGGATGCGACTGATTGTTTTCACTTACTGCTGCCGCTTTTGTCTTTGTTGTCTGGCTAACTGCATCAATTTGCACTTCATTGTCCCTCTTTTGTCTCTCTGCTCTATAAGAAGTGGCGGACGTGAGCGCAGTACGTCCGCTCAAAACCTTTTGTGGCACATCTACCAACGTCTGCCATGCGAGTTGCTGTTTAAATATGGGGCTTGGTATCTCGTAGGTGGCTTTGTATGTGTCGAAGGTGTCCTCCTGCTGCGGCACATTTGTACCAGCGTCCTTTTGTGCCTGGCTGTGCAGTTTTAATTTGCCACGCTGCCCAGTTATAACTCGTTCGCTGCACTTCTCATCGCATGTAGTTTTTAGTTTTGTCTCTTCTTTCGGCACCTTTTGTGCTGCCAATGCTGCTGCTGCGACCGCTGCTGCCGCCACAGTGCTGCGCGCTGATTTGGTGTCTACCGAGCTTTCCGTTGACTGTGCGCCTTGTTGGCTGCATAATTTTCGCTTACTTTTCATTATTGGCACACTTGCTGATTGCTGTTGACTTAGTTGTTGCGTAACACAGCCGGCTGCTTGCTGTTGTTCCTCAACTAAGTCAGTTCGTAGGCAATCTTGATTTGAGGTTTTGTTTTCAACGCCAATTTTAAGCTGATTGTTGGTCGCTTCTTCACGCTCGCCTGGTGCTTGTTCTCCATGCGGCTGTTGCTGCTTTGCAGGCTTGTGCTTTTCTTCGAGCTCCTCCGTGGTCGCATCGTGCTGCAGCACATCAATCACCTGTTCGACCAGCTGCTCCTGCGATTGATGCGTAGAAATATAACCGGTAACCACATTTTTGCATAACTCTTTTGGCAAGCTGCCCGCGCGGAGTGGTGGTGTAGGCAATACCGGTGTCTGGGAAGCCTGCTGTGATTGCTTTAGCCGGTGCAGTTGCTGCTCCTGCTGCAGTCGTACGTGCTGCTGTTGTCTTTGCAGTGACTCATTCAAGCAACGGTGGGATTCGGGCCCGAGCTGTAAATCTCCTCCTTTATCTGCTAGCATTGCAGCTGTTTGTGTTGTGGTTTTGCTTGTCGTTGAATCTTTTCCTTCCACTGCAATGGAAGTTGTGCGTCGTCTTGGTACAGGTGTGGTGGGTGCAGATTGCGTTGTGGTTGCTGCAGGTTTATCTTTGGGTCTTAGGGCGCCGACAGCCCAACTTTCCCGTAGTAGTTTGGCTGGCTCAACCTGCTGATTTGGTTGTTGTTTTTGTGATTGCTCATCACACTGTCCTTGCTGCTTCATTGAAGTTGCTGCGGTTGTTTTTGCTATTGCCGGTGTTGGCATGTTGTGCTGCACTTGGGCTATTTGCTCATAATTGGCTACGACATCGACCACATGCTCAGGGGCGGCAACTGCTTTTCCGCCTTCAGCCACTGCCTTATCACCAATTTTTGTTTGAATTGCGTCACCAGATTTTCTATTACTAACTCCCTGTCCTGCCGTCCTTTTGCCGCTGCGCTCACTTGCCGCACACTGTATGTTCTCGAAATTTCCATTTTCATTTGGCTTAATCACTTCGGCATTGGTTTCAATATCTTCCAGCTCAGAAATGTCATTACGACTGATGTTATCTGTAGCACGCTCGCAATTATCGCTGTCATCAATTTTGTCATTTACCACAGCAATCTCATCGGTAACATTTGGCAGCTTATCGTCCTCTTCAATTTCAATTAGGACGATATTTGTGGGTTTGCGCCCAGCAGCTACACTCACTTCCTCAAGATTTTCCAATATTGTCACACGTTTGGGCCACGTTGCCGTGGGCGCAAAGTGATGTTCGACAGTCAACAACTGCAGCGCATTACCCGCATCCAGCGCGTGAGGGGTGACAGTGGGTACCGCAATCAAGCGACGCATTAACGGCTGTAGCATGCTGCCGCCTTCAACGGCGGTATCTACTTGCCTCACTGAGCTCAGTGGCACATGCTTGGCAGCTAGTTTAGCCACTTTGCTTTTCGGCTCTACACTATCCACCTTTATGTCAGACAAATCCTGCAGTGCCTGCTCAACCACAGGCATATTTTCGAGTACAACAGGGCGTATGAGTGTTGCCGATACCGCCGTATTGTCAGCCGCGGCGTCAAGCACATGCAGCTCCTGTTTTGGTAGCAACTGGCGGGCAAGTGTTTGCAGCGGACTTTCCAGTGGCGGCAGTGCGGTTGTTGCAGCTTGTTTATCTAATGGCTGAGATGGTTTGCGTTGTGTTTCGATTTGTTGCTGTATTGCACGTGGCTGTTGCAATGCCTGCTGTCCTTTGTCACCTGGCTGCTCATCCTCGTGTTTTTGTAGCGGTAAGCTGCGATTAAGCGCCAATTTTGCATTCTCCATATAAGCGTCAATCTGTCTAAGGTGTTCTGCTATAGATTGCTGAAAGAGTCCATATTTCGCCTCGAGCGCCGCAATTTCGACTGCATTTTCCTCTTGTTGCGCTGGTGCTGACACTGCCAATAGTTCTGATATTGGCCTTGGCGCTGGCGCTTTCGAAATCACCGCTGTGGGCATTGTTATGCGCTGTTGCCTGTCCAATCCCTTCTGCTGCTGCTGCTGGGCTTTCAACGCATTGCTGCTCATTTCCCACTCATTTCCATCAACACAGTTTCGTTGCTTGTCACTTGCGGCTATACCGGATTTCAATGGTTCTGTTGTTGTTGCCTTCTCCATTCTCGGTGTGACCGGATTTTCACACTCATCAGGCGTCTCTCCAAAGGGACCATACAAGTACTCACCATCAGTGTAATAAATGCCACGAGGGCGCTCGAGCCGCGTTTTCTGTTGGCCTCGCTGTGCTACTGTTGCATGGATTTTACTTTTGGCAACTTCATTTTCGTTGGCTTTTGCAGCCGTTCTTAGTGGCTTTTGTGGTTGGCGATTACGCAGTCCTGTTCTGTGGCTCGATTGATGCCCTGCGCCTGCGGTATTGTATGTGGGCGTTTGGGTGGCATGTGGTATGCACTCTATTTGATGTGCTTTATTTGACACTTCCGAAAATTTATCCATTTTATTGGCACTATCGTCGCGCTGGTTATTAATATTTTTGCCACTGCTTGCAGCGCCAGCGGTTGACTGCCTTAAATTTTCATTAGTGGTCGCATAGTTGCCGCTGCAAAAGCCCGTTGCTGCCGCTGTTGGCATTTTCAATAAACTACTCTGTTTCGCTGATTGTTTGTGCGCCACTTGCCTTGGTGTACTGGCAATGGTGAGCGATGAGCTGCGTTGAGTGACTGGTGGCGATGGTGGTGTTGGCGTTGTTTGCTTCATAGCGTCCGTTGATCGCGCTATGGGCTTCTCCTGCTCTCGCCGCGTTACTATACCCGCTTTGAGGTTCTGCGGCTGATCGCCCGCACCCCATTGCCTTAGCATCTCCTCCGTCGGCGAGGGGACTATGGTAATGGCGGCTGGTATGTATGCCACCGTGCGGTCTTCTAAATCTATAGAACGTAAGTAGATGCAGGCGTCATCGTAGAGTTGGTCTGCGCTAACGGTGCTTAGGTCGCGACGCGGCGTGGCCTGATATTTGGCCGTGTGCGGTGTGACATTGTCCTTCTCTACGTCGATAGGTATGATGCGCGCTGTGTGTGGTGTGTATTGCCTCAAGTTATTTTCTTTGCTACTACGATGCTCCTGTTTTAGTTGCTTCTGCTGCTTTTGATGTAATTGCTTTTGAGTGCCTTGTACTTCAAATGTGCGCGCTGAGCTCGCATCACCAATTTTACATCTTGTCGTATGTTTTTCCGTCTGCGTCGCTTCTTTCGCATCTTGTGGCGTTGGTGGCAGCGGTATGTGCTCCAGATCGCTAGCCTGCCGCGCTTTAATTGACTTTGCGCCCGAAATATTTTCGCCCATTGCGTATGTGCGCGACACGTTTTGTTGCTCTGCGGCTGCTACTTCTTTAGCTCGCAAATCACGCTTGTCACCGGCAGCCATGACGCCCCTATCGTTGCGATAACTAGCAGCTGCATCAGGCCCTTCATCAGCATCCATGTCATTGTAACAAATTTTTATTTCTGTAGCCAATTTAATAGCTCGCCGCTGTATCCGTGGTGATATCCCACCACCCGATTTTGATGAATTGCCCGTCGGTGCTGTTGGTTTTGTCACTGCAGCTCGACCACTGCCAGCGGCAGAGTCATGGCTATTACATGCCATTATATTGACTTCCGTGACGCTATTCGCTGGTGTAATACGCGCTGCGGGACTGTTGCCACTACTTCCTCCTCCGCCGAAGCGTGGTTTCAGTGGCGGCAACTGTTCGCGTCTACGCTGTTGCTGCGTGCGCCCTCGATCTAGCGATTGTGATTGTCGATTATTATTGATGCCGGTTTTTGTAGTATTTTCTGTGGCGGTGATTGGTTGCTGCACCGCCGTGGCTGCGGCAATATTGTCATAACTGTGCCATTTTTTAGGTGCGCCACCCTCACGACGCGCTAATTGTTCGAAGTAATGGCAACGTGGCTCTACCAGCCCGACATTCACGTCAGCCGCTTTGGTTTCGGGTGCGGAGAAGCCACGCGCCACCGGCGTATTATAGTCATCTACATCATCGTAGTCGTTGCTAGTGGTGGCGACATCAGTCAGTGCTTCACCATCCACATCCTTGTTCATGGCTGCAGGCCAGCTAGTTTTTTTTGTGTCGCTAAAAGATTCTGCAGCCGCATTGACCGATGATGTATTGGCCATGTTATTGTGCACATTTGTCAATGTTTGTTGCGTCGCACCGGTGCCAACAGTGCAGACGTTGGCGCGCGTCTCGCGGGAGCTAACGGCGACACGCGCTGATTTATTTGTCGCATTTTGTTGAACCTTTTGCTTTTGCAATTGCAATTGCTCCATTTTATTGCGTTGCCGCAACTCGGTGGGCGTCGGTTCAATTATTCGCGTGGGACTATTGAATTTCTCACGTATCGCATCGATACCGTGCCGCTTACAAACGCTCTCCGCAAAGTGTACGGCATTGTTGTTGCAGATGCTGCAGCTAGTGCTCATGGTCTGCTGGTCTTTCGAAGAACTGCGTGAATGTGTGAGTGATTGCGTTCCATCACGGCACGCTGCCGCATCGCCAGTCCGCACATCGACTACCTCTCCCTGCACTGCGTAATCACTGCTCGGAGGCGGCCAGCTGTGGTCGCGTTTATGTAAATTCCTGCGTGTGGCAAGACGATTTATCTTCAATACGGTATCACGGTCGATGGTGATGTCGTGCTGATGGTACAGGTACTGCGTTTTGATTTGTTCCAACTGCTGTTGGTGCACCGGTGTGTGCAAGGCTTGTTCGTAGTACTGCTGATAGTAGTCCGACTCCGGAGGGTGGAGTCGGCGCTGCCGTGGGCGACTCTGCCGTTTGCAAGCAACGTCTATTGGGGATGCGCGTGTTGCCGGTTCACATGTACATGTTTTTTTTTTGTTTTGTTTAGCAGTGTAGATTGCCAGTCGTTATAGTTGGTCATTTGTTGTTGATTGTTAGCATTTGATTTGAATATTTGTGAAATTGTAGTTAAGTTGTTGTCGTTAGCGTTATTGTGATTTTTCATTCATCAGTGTTGTTGTGGTGGTGGTTTTTGTTGTTGAGGAACAATCACGCACACGCAAAAAGAATAGACTGGTATTAATTTTTATGCTTGGTATATGCAGAAAAAATATTCTACTTTTTCATTGTGACAAATTACACAATTAACATTAAAAATTGCTTGCGGAAAAATTCCGCATTGGATGGATGTGACATTAAGGACATTTGGAATTTTAAAGCATCGCATTTATTTGTACATGTAACAGTCAAGTTGCTAGTTAATTTTATTGATATTTGGACAAAATCGTTTTCACAACAGGGGTCACGACAATAACTGTTTTCGCATCAACAAAAAAGATTTGATCCCTGACACGATTTATATCCTGACGGCAGCGACACGGACCGCTGGGGATGGGGCTTAAGTATTGTTATGTAAGTCCCCGTTGACGTGCCCTGCACAGCAGAAATAAACCAAAACGGTACTGGGTGTCGGTTTGAAGTTTACTTTTTCTCATCCAAACTCCGGGAAATGATTAGAGGCTGAAGTTCCGGGGTAAACGCGTTTCTGGCTTCTAGTCAGGACTCAGCTCTATATGCCTGCTAAACAATGCACACCTATTGAACTCCCGATTATCTCGATGGCACCTTGAATACCGGGAGCACTTTGAAGCTTAAAAAGAGAAAAATTAAGTCTTACGGGGTGACACTAAAGTCAAGTTACGCCATATTCATTCTTGAAAAGATTGTAAATGAGACAGCGGTCGGCACTGTACTCCCATAAGATGAGAAAGCTGACCGCAAATGCGAAGAGGTGGCGAAGGAATACAGAAGGTACGAAACTTCGAGACCAGCTTAGACCACAGAAACTATCAAACGCAATATATCGGAGCTTGGGCCAGCGAAGAAACCAGCGGATGAAAAAAGCAGCTACGAATTACTCTCCAGAGAGAGAAGAACTGCCAGCGAAACATGGATTATGTAGCTTTGAGTTCTTTTAGGACTTTCTATGCAAATGCACAGTTGAGTTTGCCGACATCTGAAGTGGTTTGAAGATCTAACTGACCTAAGTCGAGCAGGTTCCTATAACACTCAGCGCCCGCATTTGGCTGCCAAAGGTGAAGATGTATGGCGACAGCAAAAATATTCCACTAGAACGAGTCGACTTCCGAAGTTGATGTATGGGACGTCAACCAGTTTTTGACGTTCTCGTTGAAGATACCAACTATGTATGTAGATGTTTGGAGGAAGGAGCTGAAAAAGTCGATGTAGGTGTAGGTGTAGGTAAAAATTAGGCAAACACGAAGAATAAACAGAGATTTGGTAGATGAAATTGAGGATGAAGTATTCTTAATTAGTGCTGAAAATACTTTTATTAAAATTTATAAAATTTTCTATTAAAACATTAAAAAAAAGAAAAGTAATGTAGAAAATAGTTTAAAGGGCGTGCTTAGCTCAGCGGTGAGCATTGCTGACTTTGTACACCAATTATTCCGGATCGATTCCTGCCAAAGGTCTGCGGCAGAATGTTTGCTAGAAACGATGTGATGCTACAAAAGAAATACAAAAAAAATCAAAAAATTTAAATTTTTTTGTTGCATCGTATGTTTTTTTTTATAGCATAGGATCACTTCTAGCAAGCACACTGCCGTCAACCTAAGTCTACCAGACATTTCTGTAATATTCGCTATAACTTCAACCAATTTAAACTGTTGTTAATTTTAAAAATTTCCAAAACACCAACAGAATTGGCTAGAAGCTTCAATAATATTGTTGATTTCCGAGTATCGTTCTGTATCTCGCATGATTTTACAATTTCGCCCTCATTTAAGAAAAAAAAAATGAGAAAAGCAATTCGTATACATATGTATTTATACTATGTACATATCTTGCTATTTATACAGGAAAAATCTCACTCATTTCATAAACACATCACTCAGCGATGAGTGTGGTGAGTTAACACGCATTTGCAAATGCCCTAGCTTGTGCGAGGCGAGCTAACTTTTATGTGTGAAAATGTGTTTGTATGTAGATGAATGCTTACCCAATAGTGCGCTGATTTGTGAAAGCAGTCCATTCTCAGTGGAACCAAAACAACTACACTGAGCCAAAAGCACAATGGTTCTTTTCAACCAAGTTATGGTTTCATTGTTTTATGGTCAATAAGCCGATTGTAAGAAAAGTGATTCAAATTGAACATTCGAGAATAAATTCATATGTATGGCAGTGGTTGAACGAGCAGAGGTGCTTCCTTTTATTTGTTGGATTCCAGCAGTAGGCATGCCGGAGCGCGATACATATTTTTTTTTATAACTTTCATGAGCATGAAATGGTATTATAACTTTGACCCGATGTTTGTAAGTACCAGAATAAGAAGAGGTAGACCCATTAAATGATCAGAACGTCGGGTTGAGTCGGTTTAGCCATGTCCGTCTGTGTGTCTGTCGTCTGTCCGTCTGTTTGTGTATTGCATACTAGTCTCTCAGTTTTCGAGATATCCGGATGAAATTTGGTAGATGGGTGTACTTTTATAATGTATTCCTCATTTGTCGGAACCGGAAGAATCGGACCACTATAACATATAGCTCCCATATAACTGATTGTTCAGATATGAGATTTTGCGTTATAACTTCTCCATTTATGCAGCTAGGAATACTGAAAATTCGCACCGTTTTCACTCATTATTAAAAGAATACTTACAGTAAAAATAACAAAGATCGGGCCACTTTTACATATAGCTCCCATACAACTGATTGTTTAGATATGCGATTTTTTGTTATAACTCCTCCATCTATGCAGCTAGAAACATGAAATTTCGCACTTTTTTACTCATTATCATAGAAAGTTTACAGTAAAATTAACCAAGATCGGGCCATTATAACCTATTTATTGCCTCCATGCAACTGATTGTTCAGATATGGGGTTTTACTGTAAAGCTTCTTTATTTGGACAGCTAAAACCGATAAATTTCGTAAGCTATTTTATAAATAATAATACAAAGTCTATTGAGAAAAACGTCAAAATCTATGCTGTATAGGCTTTATCTCTTATACCACTGATTGTTCAGATACCAGTTTTTGCGATATATCTCCTTTATGTAGGAAGCTAATCCCATTAAATTGTGTTACTGATTTACATAACGATCACACATCAGTGAAAATCACTTAGGCTGGTGCTTTATAAGGTATATTTTCCTTACCCCTGATTGTTTAGATATGATTTTTATACCCGAGCGCACTTGTGCACAAGGGTATTATAACTTTGTTCACATAATGGTTGTTTGTAACAGGCAAAACGAATCGAGATAGATATAGACAAATGTATACATAAATGATCAGAATGAAAAGAGAAATCGATTAAGCGGTGACTGTCTGTCCGTCCGTCCGTCCGTCCGTCCGTCCGTCTGTGCACACGATAACTCGAGTAAAAATTGAGATATCTTAACGAAACTTGGTACGTGAACTTATTTTGGGCGTGGGACGGATGGTATTGAAAATGGGCGAAATCGGATAATAACCACGCCTACCTCCCATATAACGGTAATTTTCAGAAAAACGAAAACTGCGATATTTTAGTAACTACTGAAGATAATTCACTCAAAATTGATATTTGCAATGAGTTTTAGACGAAAAATAAGAATATTACAAAATTTTGGCAAATGGGCATAGCCACGCCCACTTATGGTTACATGTGTATATCTTGGTAACCGCTACACCAATTTCTTCCAAACTTGGCACAGTTGTTGGTCCTGGTACAGCATACCAACTGGCCGAAAATTTTATCGGACAATAACCACGCCCACATCCCATATAACGGTAATTTCGAGAAATACAAAATCTTCGATAAATCAGTAAATATTGAAGCTAATTTATTCAAAATTGATGATTGCAACAATTCTTTACCAAGAAATACGTTTATGACAAAATTTTGGAAAATGGGCGTAGCACCGCCCACTTGTGATCACATATATGTATCTCGCTAACCGTTCTAGCAATTTGTACCAAGCTCGGTATGGTTATTGTGCTTGCCACATAAAAGCAAACCGTTGAAAATGGTTGAAATCGGACTAAAATTGAGGCCGCTTTTCATATAATGGTAAATTTCAGATATGCTTGAAATTTCAATATTTCGAAATTTAAGAACGCTAATTTACTTAAAATGTATACACCCCGGCTTATCATGTAGCGGTAGCTTTCGGAAAGGTGGAAAAACATATATTTAATACTTGCGCCGGGTATTTAATATTCGGCCCCGCCCGAACTTAGACTTTCTTACTTGGTTTATATGTGTTTCCTATATATATGTATGCTGTGAATATATAATTTTTTTCAAATGCAGTAATCTGTTAAAATAAAATGTTCAGATGTTCATTAAGGGTATGAAGCCTTCGACTTAACCGAAGACAGCGCTGCTCTTACTTATTTTTTCTGTTTTCGGTATTTCTTAATTAGGAAAAAGCCTCTGTGAAGTGCAGAACTATATCAAACGATGAAGAAAATTGATTAAAATTGAACATATGAAGACATATTTATAAAGTGCCCGTAGCTGAGTGTGTAGAGATGCTTGCTGTTGCTGTTTGCTAATCCCGTCACAGGAAACATGTTAAAATGATAACAAAAATTTTTTTGTGTATCTCCGAATTATGAAAAAGTATCTGTGGAGTGCAGAACATAAACTTATTCAAACGAAAAATCGCCGGCCAATAGTTTGGTTAATGTAAACAAAATTGTGGTTAATATTACCAAATCATTGTTGAAAATATCAAGCAAGGCATTGTTAATATTAACCAAAAATCACCTTGATTCCTTTTCAAGTTTGAATTTGGTAATATTAACCAATTTTTGGTTGATT